GAAGACGTGTTATATACAGTCGATTAAAACCGGCAAGAAAACTCTTGAACGGTTATCAGCAAACTCTTTTGAAATATGCGCCTTTACACAATTGCTACCGAGGCCTGTTAGTACTGTTGGTATGACGTTTGCTTGTCAATGTAACTGTCCGGGTTTCAATTCTCGGTAGTGGATGCGCACTGCTGATGAGTCCCAAATTTAGGACGAAACAGCCGTTCAGTGCATTCTGTTGAGGTTTCTTCTAGACGATGGATTACTTAATTATCTCAAATCCTCCTTAATTTATATATATATATATATATCCGTCAATTAAATACCTGCTGGCAACATGTCGTGCTGTCGATTAATTTAGACTCACGTTACTCGAAAATTGGTCGGCTTATTATATCCCCCCCCCCCAGAGAATGCTTGCTTTCTTTCGCCACACTTTATCTTTACAAGTGTCAAATTAGACTATATCTGGCCTGAAGTTGTCCAATCCAGCCTTGGTAGAGTTCAAAATTGTTTATGCGCTCTTGTGGGGGGGGGGGTAAGATTTGTTTTTCAATATATATGTATGTATGTGTGTGTAAAAGTTCAGATACAAAATCTTTACATTTGCCTGGGTAAAGTCCATGAGAGAACTAAGTGCGTCGCCTACGGTAAGGTCTCCTTTTGTTTTTATTTACATATATTCTTTATTAATGCAAATCGATAGACGTAGTACACGTTGTCTAAATGTAAAAATAAAAATAGGGCGTCTATTTCAAATTTATTATCCACTATAAGTTTTATTTATATATATATATAAATATATATATATATTATTTCAATGAAAATACTTACACCTATGATAATTCTATAAAAATTAATAAATACAAAATATAAGCAATCAATTGCTGCTACCCTCTGAATAGTGGACGGACAGGACCGCCTACGAAACTCTGTAATTTGGATGCTGAAGGTAACGCCAATCTGCTCAGTGACAAACTTTAACTCATATTAATCCTATATATATATATATATATATATATATATATATATATATATATATATATATATATATAAAAAGAGAGAGATGTATTATGAAAATGACTAAGTCCGACAATTATTTAAATATATTTTCTGTTTATACGTTATTATTGTCAATGAAAATATATGTCCTCCAACAGGAATCGAACCTGTATCCTACACAGAACCGTCATATAGCCTGACGTGCTATACCAATTTAGCTACAGAGGAGCGTCTTGGTTAGCAAGGTCGATTTTACTATTTTTAAACTACAATTTTCTATGTTTTCCCTCGAACATTCCTTTCTGCTTGAAGCGTATCGAAACATAAACAAATAACGTCACACATTAGAAAATGGACAAAGACGGACAATTATTTTAAGATATTTTCTGTTTGTACCTTCATTTTATAGATACAAATATTTAAGTAAATGTTCTGTTTATAATAAACAGTATTAACAACATTTCTTGGCCTGAATGTCCGAGAAGTTGTCATAGAAAATATGTATTGACATCTCTGAAGATTCAATATTTATTGCACAAAACAGTACAAATGTGGCACAAGGCCCAAATGGGTTCAGCAGGAAGCTGGTCATCAACAGTCCTTTCTCTAACTTCGCTAGACCCAATCACTGACCCAATCATTTGGTAATATTCCTTGCATCAATGCAATACATTCTTACTTACCCTTCATACTACAGTAACCACCATAACACAATTTTCTTATGTATTCCTAACTAGTCACCATATGTACAACTGTCTGTGACGGGGAATAAAAAACTCCCTAATCTGTTTTCAAAAATGAATTTACAACTATTTACGAATGAAGGAAAAAGATAGTGGCCGTCATAGAAGCTCCGCCTCCTTTGTTAAAGTTAGTGTATCCGTGTCTCAACAATTGAATTCGTTAAAGTTAGTGTATTCATGTCTAAATTTAAATCCGTTAGTGTATTCGTGTCCCTAAATTTAAATTCGTTGGTGTATTCGTGTCTCTAAATTTAAATCCGTTAAATTTAGTATATTCCTGTCTCTAAATTTAAATCCGTTAGTGTATTCGTGTCATTAAATTTAAATCCGTTAGTGTATTCCTGTCTCTAAATTTAAATTCGTTAGTGTATATGTGTCTCTAAATTTAAATCCGTTAGTGTATTCGTGTCTCTAAATTTAAATTCGTTAGTGTATTCGTGTCTCTAAATTGAAAACAATTACTTCCTTATTCTTGTATTATTTCGAACTATTGTTCTCTTAGTTGATATAAATGTTATTATAGAAACGTTTCGACCAAGTACCTTCTGGCCATCATCAGGTGTCCATTGATTGGTTAATATGGGATATCTGTTGATTATTGTGATATCAGTTATTGTTCCTTCCTGTTGAATTGGTGCGTCACTACCAGATCCAAGGATTGAATTCATGACCACGAGATGACAGTAACAGATATGTAACCAACTTCAATATTCACTACTCCACAGTCCCGAGGGACATTGTGTTTTTGGAGCCTTTTACATTCAATATCAGATGATTTTTTTTGACATTTTGGTTGTGTAATTATCATACCATTATATTAAACGAAATTATTAAAACCTGTATTATGGCATTTTGAATATATGTTACGCATGAATAATTTAAATATATTACCGCATTTTAAAGATTGCCAAGTAGTGTAACGGATAAAAGCTTTGAAATTTGAGTCGGCAATTCATATTCGGAGTTCATATGACAAGCTATTTTTTTTTGTTCTCCCTCGCACTAATGTCGTTGGAAAAGACACTAACCCATCTTTTCTCCCTCAGATATGGGTTAATTAGTACAATAAACTGGGATTCTCTATTTTTGAGCAGCCGCCAATATAAAGGAAAATTCTGAATCCCAAACGATATTAAGAAGGCATCGGGAAGTCATAAAAGCATTTCAGTTCACTGATAAAGAAAAAGAAACTGTGGAGACCCATAACTGTCTACTTCATCCAGGGATATGGCATTAAAAAAATTAACAAAGAATGATACAGATGCCACTTTGTTGATAGCAAATTCAATAAGAAAACTTAATTATTAAACAAGATAGTCGAGGAAAGCCTGAAGAAAGGACTAACCCTGATAAGACGGAATGCACGGCTGTCAGTAAAAGAGATATTCCTCGCAGTGAAATGCCTATTAGGGACGTCAAACTTAACAAGGGCAGTTATAATAAGTAATGTAGTAACATGCGACAGAAACTGTGACACGGAGGGTCCGAAGAATGCATAAAATAGAGAAAGATGTCTTCCAGAAACTAAGTAAATTAAGGAATAGGAAAATGACCTTAGAAGAAAACAAAGAAAAAAAAAAGAGTGCTGAACTACCATACAATATCAAATCTCCTATATAGTCAAATCTAGTCGATTCTAGTCTCTTCTTCATCCGTAAAAAGACTGTCCAGCATTCATTGCTCTATACGAAATTGCATATTACATGCAAGTTCAGCACACTTCGAAATTTCTCTTTTATTTTTTTAATACTATTACATTTTATTTTTTAATACTATTACTTATAACACAAGGCCCAAGAGCCACTCAAGGTAGATGGTTACTGAATGAGGTTGTTGTAAAGGCATAAAAAGAATAAGAAACAAGTGCGTGTTATAAGGTTATGTAGAAAAGATAACGCTTGACCCGAGACTTGGAGTAGCGATGGAAGGAACATGTTTTTGGGAGTCAGTTCTGTCGAAGAAGCTTTCCGAGTGGAAATTCCTCCTTACTAATGGAATGAGGACGAGTAAACTCTGTATACATGACATGGCGGTTCCTAGCTGAGAAGATCTGAAGGGATGCAACCTAAGGAATGTAGCTCGCCTGGACATTTGCTACGAAAAATATCGATAGAGAAGTGAGAAGTTAACAATGATTCGTCTGTGAGGAGAAACGGTTGCAGGTTGGAAAACCATCACCCACAAAGTCTCGTAAACGCTTTTGAATTTTGTCAAGGCCGGACAGTGAAGATTGGACAGCACCCGCACAGATATGGCAGCGATGCTCCATTTTCGGTCTGAGTACAGTAGGAGGAGTCGGGTACTTACTTGAGCGGTACAAGTAAGCGACCATTTTTCCAGCATCTTCAACGATCAAACGTATATACGAGTTTCACTTGAGTGGTACAACCTCAGGAATGAAGCTCACCTGGACATTTGCTACGAAAATAGCGATAGAGAAATGAGAAGCTAACAATGATTCGTCTGGTGGGGGGGGGGAGGAATAAAAGGTTGCAGATTGGAAAACATTTAATCACCCACAAAGTCTCGTAAACGCTTTTGAACTCTGTCAAGGCCGGACAGTGAAGATTGAACAGCACCCGTCCAGATATGGCAGTGATGCACCATTTTCGGTCTGAGTACAGTAGAAGGAGTCGGGTACTTACTTGAGCGGTACAAGGTACCAACCATTTTTCCAGCATCTTCAACGATGAAACGTGTATACGAGTTTCACTTGAGGTTTGGAGCGAGCTTTAGACATTGAGAGTATATCTCTTCATCAGGACTGGAGTAAATTTAGATTCTGCTCGTTGATGATGAAGCGCTAAGTTTGTCTACTAATGTGCACCCAATACAATGGCTAAGTGCCATTCAAGGTAGAGGCCTACTGGTTGATATTGTATGAGCGTAGAAAAAAGCAAGAAGTGAATTTCATGCTGCTATTCAGATAACAGTTAACCCTGAACTTAAAGAAGTCAAGATTGTGGTGATTGGGTTGGCAGGTTGGGTGTATTTGTTTACGGGCATATCAACACTTCTATGGGTTATTTAATTCCGAAAACTAACTATTTTGTACACAATTTTGTTTTATTTTTGGAAATAATAAGGGTTTAATGATACAAATCTTACTAATTAACCCATGGTTGTGGGAGAAGAGGTGGATTCATACCTTTCCCAAGGGTATTTGCACATAAGTGAATATAATGGAGCAGACTGGAATTGAAACTTAGTCCTCCGATTAACAATTCCGAGCCATTATACATTACACCCTCCGCACATCCAAACTTACAATACCCGGTATTCCCAAGCGGTCACCCATCTACGTATTGACTAGGCTCGACGTTGCTTAACTTCGTTGAACGTACAGGAACCGATGTTTCAACGTTATATGGCCGTAAGCCCACAGTGACTGGGAAAACATCTTGCCAGGAGTCTGTTCCTTAAAATAGCAGTTCTTGGGAAGAAGCTGTTCAGATGGAACTTACTCCTTACTAATGGAATCCAAAAGGAATGAGGCTGATTTATCCTTGTGTACGTGGTACTTAAATTCTCGAAGGTTTCTTTCATTATTCTTCTGCGCTTTCGATTTTCTGCGTCATATTTTCCGTCTTCTGTTAGTACCATTCCTAGTTAAGTCAGTTCTGTGCATCTTTGATTATGGCGTCATCAATATGTAGCTAGCAACCGTTCATTCTGTCTTCTTTCAGGTAAAAGCTAATCTTTTCTTCTTTCTTTTCTTGAGTATTTTGTCTGATCGTTCCTTCCTTTCTTTCTTTTTTTTGTGAGTTTGTTTTCTGAGGCTACAAAGTGTCAACTGATCAGAGTCCAGTAACAAATCGATAGTTGTGAAATGAGAAATCGACTTATTTGGATTACAAAAAAAATCGTTTGTTTAAAATCCAGTCAATTAAAAAGCCAGGCTGTTGTTAATTTTAAATCACAAAAAAGTGACGTTTCATTTTGCACATAAGTAATTTTTGACGCCAATATCTATCTATCTATCTATCTATCTATCTATCTATCTATCTTTTTGAAATTATTGATTCATCTTTCTTATATTATTACTTTTTCTTTCTTTTTGGAACTCGTATATTCATACCGTCAGTAAAGATGATGAGAAAATGTTTGGTTCCCTGTACCTCTCCAGAAAGTACTTATTTCTTTCTTTCTTTCTTTCTTTCTTTCTTTCTTTCTTTCTTTCTTTTTTCTTTCTTTCTTTCTTTCTTTCTTTCTTATATTATTGCTTCTTTCTTTCTTTCTTTTTTATATCATTGCTTCTTTCTTTTATTTTTGCTCTTCTCTTTCTTTCGCTCTTTCTTTCTTATATTATTTCTTTCTTTCTTTCTTTCTTTTTCTTTCTTTTAACTTTGCTTCTTCCATTTTTTATTTTTTTATATTAATGCTTCTTTCCTCTTTCCTTCCTTCTTTCTTTCTTTCTTCCTTTTTCTTTCTTTTATTATTGCTTCTTTCTTTTTTTCTTTTCTTATATCATTGCTTCTTTCTTTTATTTTTGCTTCTTCTACTCTTTCTTTCTTCCTTTCTTATATTATTGCTTCTTTCCCCTCTTTCTTTCTTGATTGCTTTTTCTACGTTCTTTCTTTCTTTCTTTCTTTCTTTCTTATATTATTGCTTCTTTCTTTCTTTTTTTTTTCTTATATCATTGCTTCTTTCTTTTATTTTTGCTTCTTCTACTATTTCTTTCGCTCTTTCTTTCTTATATTATTTCTTTCCTTCTTTCTTTTTCTTTCTTTTAACTTTGCTTCTTCCATTTTTTATTTTTTTATATTAATGCTTCTTTCCTCTTTCTTTCTTTCTTTCTTTCTTTCTTTCTTTCTTTCTTCCTTTTTCTTTCTTTTATTAATGCTTCTTTCTTTCTTTCTTTTATTATATCATTGCTTCTTTCTTTTATTTTTGCTTCTTCTACTCTTTCTTTCGTTCTTTCTTATATTATTGTTTCTTTCCCTCTTTCTTTCTTGATTGCCTTTTCTACGTTCTTTCTTTCTTTCTTTCTTTCTGTCTTTCTTTTAACTTTGTTTCTTCCATTTTTTTATTTTTTATATTAATGCTTCTTTTCCTCTTTCTTTCTTTCTTTCTTTCTTTCTTTCTTTCTTTCTTTCTTTCTTTTGCCATCATGGTAGAGCTTTCATAATATCTAACCGTAATACGCATTTCATTTTGTAAACAGTTCGGTTAAAAAATAGCTACACGAAAAACCTTGACGTTATTTATTTTCTCGTTCGATTATTCCTCTACTCCGTCGTTCAGGTGGGAAAAATATAGGTTAAACTTTCGTATTGATCCATTCCAACTCACCGAAGAAAGATTCATCAGTGTGCTGAAAAATTCTCGGCTCGACCCACTCGAAAATATTGTTTTTCTTGCAATGACCAAACATGAGACATTATTCTGGGCAGGGTAATAATTAAAAAAATACTTGTGTAACGATTTCCCACTTGTGTTTGAACTGCGCCGGGGGATATTGGTGGAATAGTCTGTAAGTTTAATGGCTCCGAGTCATTCCCGCATTGGTGAAGCCGAGAACTTTTCAGCACGACTATTTCTTTTATGCAGACAAAACGGAGCTTGTATATGCTAACAATATTTAAGTATTACGTATCTTTACACGCGCGCATGCACATAATTCCACATGTAAGCTTCTGATCGAAATGATGTTTCTACTATTTCATATATCTCTGCTCATGAAATATTTGATATACTTTTTTAATCGATTTCACTTCAAGAAAGGCAGTAAAGCCACTAAGACACAAGGGGATTATTGAGTGTGGAAGAATTAGGAACAGAAATATTATTAAGAGCGACAAGAGAAAAAAGTAATCAGAAGAATAGATAGCGATTGACATTGCATTTAAATTTTTGAAAATTAAAATTGCCTGGAAAGTATAGAGCCGGGATGGAGCTCCACAGGCGAGAAGCGTGAGAAAAAAAAACTGTTAGCATAGAACTTACGGTTACATCTAGCCAGCTCAACTGTAAATTGATGAAATCTCTACGACAGCCTAGTACGATGGTTAAATTAAAAAAGTTTAGGTATTACAGCGAAGAGCTCATCTGAACAATTACCATGAAAGAATGGCACAGGGAGGCAACCTTAAGGCGGTGGGGAAATGACTGAAGCCGGGCCACCAGATCAAGACCAATAATATTGCGGATTCTTCTTTGGATTTGATCAAGAAGTTCAAGGTAAATAGCAGGAGAACCGGCCATATCTAGCAGCAATATTTTAAGCATGACCGAATGATAGACATAGATATGTAAAATAGATGAGCAAGCACGGTGGATAGCGGGTCGGATTGAGGAACCGGAGAGCCAAGTTCAAATTCCAGTCAATCCATTACATTCACATATGTGCTAATACTTTAGGAAAGGTATGAATCTTCTTCTCCTCCACCCAGCTATGGGCAGATAGCAGGCTCTATAGCCTTGGATGGCAACTGTTCTATTGCAGAAAGAAATGGCAACCTACATGGCACATAACTGACTGACTGAAGATAGATTCTGGAGAGAAAGATTGTTTCGCACGACACACTGAACCAACTTTCTTAATAGCTGTCCTAGCAATGGATTCAATATAGTCTTTCCACATAATGACAGCTGAGAATTTCCTAAGGTATTAGCATAATATTAAAATATTGCTGCTACATATGGCCGGTTCTCCTGCTGTTTACCTTGAACTCCTTGATCAAATCCAAAGAATCCGTAATATTATTGGTCCAAATATGGCAGCTCGGCTTCAGTCACTTGCCCACCGCCGTAAGGTTGCCTCTCTGTGCCTTTTCCATACATTCTTTCATGGTAATTGTTCGGATGAACTCTTCGCTATGGTACCTGAGAATGTTAACTCAAAAAGACGCAAGAAGCCGATTTCCTGGAGGCTTTCATCAGCCATCAGACAGAAAGGACTCTCTCAGATGATTAATGGGGAGAAATATATAATTCTATATATCAGATTAATGATCAATTGAATAAGGAAAGGGGAAAAATTACGTAACACGAGAAGCGATTACTTTAGACACTAATACTAGTTTTCTT